GATAGGTTTAGATTGGATATTAGGAAGAAAATTCTTTAATGTGAGGGTGGTGAGGCCCAGGGAAGTTGCCCCATCTCTGGAAGTGTTCAAGGCCAGATTTGATGAGGCTTTGAATAACCTGGTCTAATGGAAGGTGTCTCTGGCCATGGTCGGGAGGCATTGGAACTAGATGATCTTTAAGGTCCCTTTCAATCCTAGCCAGGATCTGTCTGAGGGCTATACTCATTTTCTATGGAAATTTTATACCTATCTGAAATAATACAAATATTTTGATGCAGAAAATTTTCTTCTGCTCATTCTGTCCCTCTTGCCTGTGCTGAAGGCCACTATTCATAGACAACTGGGGAATAGGGAAATATGGGTCACACAGGAAGCAATTTTTAAAGCAGATCAGGACAAATCTCTGCACCACCATCACCACACATATTCTCACAGAGACTAACTTCTGTGCAAGTTCTCCAAGCTCTGTTTAAAGCTTCTGTGCAGTCAAGAGCTATGGGAAAGGGTGAAGCATTTGTTTCAATTTTAACTACTCCAGCAGCAATTTCAAGAGCACCGGACAGCCCAGGTTTGCAAACATGCCTCAGAAAGGAAGGTACCACATCCTCTTTGTATCTCCTTTCTCAGATGCTGGCCAGAAACCCATGGTCAACCACAACCACAGTCATCAGACACTTCTTTTCCACACTATTCTGGCTGTGGACTGGTCCACTTTATAGTCTGCTTTCAGAGCTTCACTCCAGTTTATTTTTACATAATAGGGAAAACATAATCCAGTCATAAACTACTGCTCAAGAATCACTTCTGTGCTGAAATTTGGCTGAAATTTCCACATAGGAAGTTTGAAATGTTAAGATAATTCATTCTTCAAAGTTAAATTGTCTTAATCTGATCCTTTTAAGTACTTCTGATTGCAAATCAGTATTAGTCAAGTTTTCTTGGTTTTGAAAGCTTTGCTAATGTAGATGCTAATTGTCATGGAATTTTGCAAGCCACAAATAAACTTCTCACAGGTTTTCAGATGTCTATTAAGCTTCTCTATCACTCTTTCTAGCCCTTGAAGATATGCCAAAACACAATGTTAAATTATGTAGTTTCCCAATTGCATCCTGCCATATGTTGAATGATGAGCCTTTTAGAGTTCTGTACAGAGCAAGTCATAAGAAGTTAAGTATTTCCATGCTGCAGAACAATGAGGAATTTTTCTTAGTACCCTTCTATTTCCTTGCTGATTTCAAAATACTTATGAGATGCTAAAAATCATTGGGTTTTTTCTCCCAAAAGTCAGACTGGATAGGAAATTAGAAATCTCCACTTCCAATACAGAATTGGTTCTATTTACAAATCCTCTAGAAAGCTGTGCTTAAAGTAAAAAAGACACCACTCACCTTTCAGAAAGGTGCTCAACAGGTGATCTCTAAATTGTCCTTTATCTTAGCTTTCCTCATTTCCCCTTCCCTCCCTGGCCTCACGTCAATTTATTTTTTAGCATTATCACGTTTAATTCCACTCTTGGTTGATTTCAAAAGAAGAGAATAAATAACATTTATTTCTTCAATAAATCAAAGTTATTTCAAACAGTTTGTTGGGCCACATCAACTGCAAACAAAATCCTTCCTGGGACAGTTCCACGACTCTTGAAGGACACACTTTAGAGTAACCCAGGATAATATAGCAAAGACTGGTGCAGAGGGTCACAGTATTTCTAGTGCATTCTGAAGTGTTTTACAAACTGTCTATTCAGTAGGTTGGAGTTCACAGAACTTAGTTCAATCCTAAGCAGTGAAGCCATAAAATGCCTCCCCCTGTGTACAACTCTTAGAAAGGGGGCAACTTAATGCTAGCACCTTGACTTTACCACTCTAATCATGTTCAAGTCACAAAGCAGGATTAGAGGTCCACCTTAAAAATCAGTTACTTGCTGAATGTTCATGGACAAAAAAAAAAAAAAAAAAACAACAAAAACCCCACACCCAAAACTTTCACAGTATCTTAAATCACGTCTCTTCCGTTACTTTCCTCTGAACATCCCACCACACAACCCTCCCACCATTTCATCCTTCTCACTTACATCACTGTAATTACAGCCCTGGCTGATCTCCTTTGTGCTGATCTTGAGATTCTTTCTTTGGTCTTGCCACCTACTCATTTCTGATTCTTCTCAGATAACAGAACGCTTGTCTCCTTCCCAGACCTCCCACCCTCCTTCTCCCTCTTCCTTACACCATCCATACGAGTAAGAAAGCTATTCCCAAACTTATTATCTCCATCCAGTAAAGACTACAACAGCTCTGCTGTGGGCCTGGTAAGATATTATGCTTGTGGGCAAAACATTCTTTGGATTAGGCTTGCAGAGGGCAAGAGCCTTAACCTTCAGAAGTTTACTTTGAAGTCTGGTTGATTCAGGTTCCCTAAATCATTCTGTGCATCTACTTCCAGCAAGAGCACATCTGCACATCTCCAGTGCAGATCATCCACTCAGCATGAAACAGAGAGGCTGCCTTCACATGCATATATGGAGTCAACAGCACACTTCCCCTTCTCTGAAGAACATACTACTGTTCTCAGACTCTGTGTTACAAATTGCCTGAAGACAGAGAGACAGATACTGTCAACAGTTTCGACACTGTTACAAAGCCAAAAAGGACTCAGGATGTAAAGGTCAAAGGGAGAGAAAAAACCTCCACATTCAGAACATTCAACCTGTAATACAGAAAATGCAGAGAAACTCCAACAAAAGTAGGTCAGCATAGGCAAGACTGTAAGGCATCCAAGAAACCAAATATTTCCTGTTTTTACTCTGTCACTTGAACCTTAGTTGTATTCCAATCTCAATCAAATACTCTGCATGAGTTCAGATAGAATTATGGGTATTTTGCCTACTGGTACTGTGTTAAGATCAAAGTGAAAAATGTTCACAGGAGTCATGGATGTGGGCAACTGAGCTGAAATATCAATTATAAAACTCAAGGTTAAAGCACTTTATTTTTCAGTAGGTATAATGCTCTAAGTAACAACATTTCACAGCTACATTTGTTGTATAGGCTACAGAACCCCAACACTGCAATCCATATCATCTCAAAGCAGCATGACTCAGGCACATTGCAAAGGGTAAGGCTGCCTTGCCTGAAAAACTTCTGCTTATTAGGAAGAAAAAAAGAGCACACATTTTGTCTTTTCACTTTAGCTTAAAAAAACCCAACAAACAAACGAACAAAGCCTTAAGTTTAGACTAACCAACATAATGGCATAACTTCAGAAGAGGCTTGCATCATGCTGACTGCTGACTGACACACTGCACACAGCAAAGTGAAGTTGGCTTTCTCAGGCCTAGAAAGTCGGAGCAGAGCAGAAGGCCAACAGGAGCCTGCTTTGCTGACTGCCCTGGAGTACCACAGGGAACCCATGGCCAAACAAGGCAGAGGAAGAGGACAGAGCCCATTTCTCATACAGCACGTAGGTGATTTGGAAAAGTCGGGGTTTTGTTGGGTTTTTTGCATGATTCCTGGGGATCTCCCCGGTGCAATATAGGTTAGTGGCTTAGAAGCTACTATTACTTCAAATTAATGCCATTCCTACTAGAAAACACATTATGCTGAGAGGAAGAGAAGGACCAGCCCTCCAACACAGACACTGAGAAATTAGAATCTCACTGTGGTACTGTGTGCACTCACAAGCTGACTAGATGGTGTTACTGCACATGTGTAATCACTAGGCATTCCACCCTTAGTGCAGGTAATATGATATAAAGAAAGAAAACACGTGCTGGAAATACAACAACCACAAAAAAACCCCAACCTGCACCACAAATTAAATACCACTGTTACAGCTGTGGGAAAAATTCTTGAAACAACTGAAATACAGTCCCATTTTCTTAGCAGGTGTTTTGTTAGTATACAGGTGAATAAATTGTTTTTAAAAGGTGCACCCAGCCAGCCAGAACCTTGTTGATGTCAGGACATAAAATGTGCTTCAACGCCAGTGTCTACCCTGCTCTTATATGAGCTGTGACAGTCTGGGAGGGCTTGCACCACTTAATAAACCCATCCCTGGTTCACAGGCAGACTTGCATTGGGTCAGCGAGGTGTGATCAATTTGAAAATGTTATGGTTAAGCAGTGAAATGGTGAACACCTAATAGATAGCCGGTATAAAAACCATCAGTAATCAAAGTAACATTAGCTTTGGGATATGGTAGTTCTGCAATTTTTGCTAAATCCATATTATTGCATAAAATTTATAAGAAGCCATATTTTACAATTCAGTTTTATCAGCAGGAAAGCTTTAGAGATGTTCTTACCATGCTTCAGATGTAGGCAGCTGTCATTCTGGGGCCTGTACCTGTAGAAGATTGTTTTCCTTTAACAAATTTCTGTTACAGAGTTTTTGCACATTCCAAGTAAGTTTGTTTGCTACAGTGTTACATGGAATTTTTTTGTGTGTAATTTTTGGTTTTGTTGTTTGGGTTTTTTTTATGGTTCTTATACCAGCCATTTTTTGTTGGGGAAAACAGGGTGTTTCTTAATACATATTTTAAAGACAAAAAGGAGACCTCACTGATGCTTTTAGCCAACCTACTAGGCAGCTGTTAGTGTACAAAGAAATGTAAAATACAGTGAGATAAAATACAGTTACTACAAAAGGTCTGTGTAAAGCTTCCAGTGTCCAAAAATACCACACAGTATTTGAGCCTCAGTTAAGTCTAAAGATGATACAACATGGATTGAGGAGAAAAGCAAAGGTAAAACAGGACAGGGTTTGCAGCAATGCGTAAGTTCAGCCAAAAATGTTGATGCCATCAGGACTGCTGCTCAGAAAGGTGTAAGGGAAAGCAGGCATGGGTTGTGTGCATGTTCACAAGCTTACATTCCAAGTGAAATATCTTAAAACATCCATCAGAAGCAAGCGTTAGACAAAAGCTCGTAAAAATTAAATAGCGCAAGCCCTGGTTTCTAAAATATACCTGAGGTAAATGGCAAGTAAGAGGTGGTCATGGCCTACCTGATGCTGATTCCTGCAACTTTTCTCTCTTCCTCTTCTTTTTCTTCCCCTGAAAAATAGGAAATTTTATTGTGCCATTACATTTATAGAACTTTTTTGTCACTTACCTCACAGCAAAAGTCATCTGGACACTGAAAATGTTACGAAAAAACCCAATTATTTTCAGGGTAGCTTTTCTATCCCAATTTTAATGAGTTCAATGGTAACAAAGTTTGCTCTGAGCATCTAAGGAGAAATATGCACATCAGCAATACATATATTTACATCCACACGGAATTACAATTTCTGGCAGTTTTTCAACTACCACTGGCAGCCGCAAGCACCAAAAAGACTTCTCACGCTCAATAATCTGATGACACGTATGTTGATATCATAATTTATGGCTCTTACAAGAACTCTTCACACATTCAGATACTTACACTATCATACATGGTAGGAGCAGACAGGGTGTTGAAAGTACCTAGGACGACCATCACTTGTCCCCAGGGTGCAAACCAGCCCACAAAAGCTGTTCTGATAATGCTGGTACCTGAACAAAAGCCAAGTCTGGTGTGGCTGTGCCCGGAGAGCACGCTCTGCAATAACCAAACAGCAGAGACTGTACAGCAGAGCACCCTTAACATGGCTGAAGTGCAGAACACAAATAAATGCCTGGCAGCTGTCTTTCTGAGAGACCACACTGGCCACAGCCTGCCAACCTACACACTCAGCCTTCTCCTGCACCCCTTCTATGGAAATGGCCACAGCTCCTGCTTCACACAGTCTCTGTCAATTGAAACAAAAGGTCAGCTTAGACCCACAATTTTAAACCTCAGTCATCTTGCATCACCCTAACCACCACTGATATTCCTCCATGTCTTGTCTTTATTGCCCTCTATAATCAGTGAAAGCTTTTTGTGTGTGTTTTAAGAAAAAAATCATATCCATTTATGTTTTAAAGAAGCCTCCAGACAGGCTGCAACAGATGAGCTCTGGAAAGGCTGATGCAGTTGCTGTGAGCAGGGCTGCAGCCTGCTGCCCATCCTCTGGCCCCCACTCTCATGGCTGGCAGCTGCATGTCCCAGCACAGAGCATGCCACACACACACAGTGGCCTCAGAGGGGAAGGGCTGAGGAGCTGGGACACATCTTTCCACAAGCTGGCTCTGCAAAGTACTGGGATGGACAGCAGGTGATGTGAGAAACCACCTCAAACCCCTGCAGTGCTCACTGATTGACAGGACAGCAAGGGAGGACTCCTAATACAGGCTGTGGTGAGGCTCCAGCACATGAACTTAAGTAGCCTCCACTCTGCTCTGACAGTCTGGGCCTGCCTGACTCTCAAGCTCCTGTCCTTATTTATCCCAAGGCTGGCAACTGGGCTGGCCAATGCCTTGTGAGCAAGATTCCAAAGTCAGGACCAAGACTACAAGTTGAAAAACACATTTCAAGGGCTCTGGGGAGCTCCCAGCAATATGCTTTATCACTTAGGCACCAAGGCAATGCTTTTTTGAGAGGAAAGTGCATTACTGCAGATGTGAACATGGAAAAGCCTTGGGAGGAAGATTTGTTTTGTTCTCTATATGTCAGGCTGACTTCAAGTGCTAAAACATAAACTGAAAGCTGATCTGAGATCTACCTATGAGATAGCACAAGTGAACAAATAGAAGGCTGGGCTGAAAACTAGTTGTCAGCATTCCCAAGTAAGATAGTTTCTGACAACTGCAGCACACATCGACCCTCACTTTGTGAAAACATTGTGCTTCTCATGTCTATCACACAATTTTGCATGACTGCTTTGGGTATCAGTAATAAAAAGATATGGAAAAGATAGTTTCAACTGTTGAATAACAATGTTTAACATTTTCTTTGAATTCCTAAAATCAGGCAAAATTCCTAAAACCGGGCAAACCAAAATAGAAGAACTAAAACCAAACAGTACACTTTGTTCACTTGTACTGTTTTGTGAAACAGAAGAACCATCCCTAAGTAACTTCCAACCCTCAAAACACTGCAGTAATACCTGTGATAAATAATTAAAATTTCACTTTTTGACTGCCTAAGTTAGGAAAACCAAAGAGAAAAAAAAAAAAAAGATACCATATATCTGAAAAGGTTTCAGTGATAAAGTGTGCTCTCCTATGATCACTGTCTGACCACCTCTGCAGAGCGTGTGCATTCCCTGAGAGGCAGAGGGGAGGGCAGCAGGAGGAAGCCAGCAGAGTTCTTCATTGTAACATACAGGACTGGAGTATGTCAGAGCTATACTTCCACACAGGATGTAGACTGGAAGCACATCAAAGAGATAACTCATACGTGCCACCTCACACTCTCCAAATGTCTGTCAAGGCATTTCAGAAAGCGCAGGTCCGCTGCTCGTGCTGTGTGGCACAGGCTGGGGCAGAGCACAGCTTCTCAAAGCCACATGGTCAAACAGCACAAGACCATGCTGAAGCCTGATGTCCAGTAAGCACGAGCTGACAAGACTCCAAAGTGGTGTGATTTTCCAGCAAGTCAATTTGTGACAAGCTAAACCCCCTTGTTTCCAGGGAATCTTCCCTAAGACCCTGTTTGTTCCCAGCTATACTTCAAGGCAGCTCTGTTGACATGGTCTGGCTACTGGAAATAAACCATACCTGTGTAGTGGCAGGACAGTTTATTGGCTGTATAGAAAGGACAGAAAGAAGCTGCTAGAGTTTTCAGTTGTGGCTGTGCTTACAAAACTGGGCATGCATGTCAGCAAGACCAGGGCATTTCCTTTGGAGATAATCACATAGTTTCTGTGTCAATGCATTCTCTGCTAGTTTCTACAGTTTCTGTTAACACTGTGTTTAGGTACCTCAATCCTCAATGTCCAAAGACATCATTGAAGTAGAGAAAAACTGCTGTCTCCCTAATGCAGAAGGAAAATTGAGCCAGATATATCATGTACATTTCCTATCCCAGTAGATGGTGTCACATCTAATGGAGGGACAGAAAGGAGCTCAGTGCTCAGGTTAGGATCAGTCTCTCAGGACTGCAGCGTCTGAGTTTGATATCATCACATTTGGCTACACTGACAGCTCACTGCAGGCACCAGAGTGCAACCATGCAGCACAGCCTATTTGATATTTAATTATAAAACCAGAGTAATTGTAAGAAAACTTCTTAACGTATACATATATATATGTATACGAGCCTATAGACATATATACATATATATATATGTATAGAGCCTATAACAGTAGGCTCTATCATGAAGGTTACTTATACAAGATTTCCATATGGACCATTCTGAATTAATTTCATCTGAAGTTTAGTCTGCCTTGAGACCCCTGGGCTTGCAGTTCTCCTGAAAATAAAGCATCCCTTTTTTTCTCAGGTCTAAGAAAGATTTCTGGGTAATAACTTATCAGATAGAAAATGAGGGAAAATTCAGAGCTGTGCAGTACAACATGAGCTTCCAGACAGTACTGGCCATTGTCTTAGGAAAAAAAAACTTTCCATGCTATTTTTCCCCTCAGGTTTATATTATATGTATGTTCACCATCTCTTCATCCAGAACTTTCCACAAGTTGTAGAGGAAAATAAGAAACAATAATAATTTTAGAAGTTACAAAAAGAAAGTGAATTTTAAAAAAGAACCTTCAAGTGAGTGACTTACATAGTTGTCTCTTGCAGACCAGCCTGGATAAAGCTGCATGTGTAGCTGCCTTTCTTTACGAGCTAGTTCATAATATTTTGCTTGTTCTTCACGGGAGAGAGCATGCCACTGCAAACAAAATAAACACACCTTCAGACTAGGAACTAACTTACACCTAGGCAACAGATGACTTGAGCAAGTGTTTTAGTGACTTTGATTCAGTCCTTCCCCACTGCAAAAATGAAATTCATTAGCAATTACAAGCACCTGTGTTTATTAACGACTTTCAGGCATTTGTCAGCTCTGCTACTGCCAAGTGCCTTGAGCAAGACAAAATTATTTATGGAAACAGGGCTCACCAAATAATCTGCTCACAGAACCGTTCTCTCCCAACACTACTTAAAAAAACCAACAACAAACAAACAAAAGCAAACCCCAACAAGAAAACAGCAACAAAAACCAGCCTTTAGCTCCTGACAGAACTGAGGGGGTTTGTGCTGCTTTTAAAGGGAAGCAATCTCCCCTTGACAGAAGGGTCTGCTGTCTTGATTTCAAGCAGCCCCTAGATGCAAGTTTTCAATGCCAACACAGAAGGCTTTCTGTGCACCAGCAACCCTATTCCAAAATCAACTTCTAAGTATTGAAATTTAAGGTACCTGCTTACTGATTGAAAAAGGAAATGACAACTGCAAAAGTTTCAAAGATAAAGAAATCACAGAACTACAGTCTTACAAATTATATGAGTTGACCTTTGCAGCCAAGCAGGAATAAATCTCCTGGTTTCATGTACTTAAAAGTAACCCCCCCCAACCAAAAAAAAAAAAAAGGCAAACAAAAATACCTCACAACCTGCACATTTGGAAAGGTACGAGCTACATTAGTATCTAATAATTTTGTTCTTGTTGAAACACCTATCAGAGACCTGAACCAGAAGGAGTAAAGGCCTTTTATTTAGAATTAAGTTCCACTGCTGCAGCATTAGATGCATCTTCTTGTTTGACAATATCCATAGGGAAGTAAGGGGAGAAGAAGTTATTAAAAAAAAAGTTTAAAAAACAGACAATCATTAACAAATCATTAAGACTTTCATACAAGACGGACATACAGAACAAAGATTTCAGATCACATCACTTTTGTATGATTTAATATGCTCTTTGGTTACACGGCAGAGGATGGGTCTTGTCTGCCTTGACTTGGCAAACTGGATGTGTTTTTGAGAGCCCAGGAGCTCAGCCTGTCTGCAACTCTCAAACTCTGCAGGCACATTCAAAAACTGGAAGGTGATAAACACAATCCTGGAGCCCAGCAGCATGCAAAGTGTCAGCTCAGGAGAACAGAGGTGGCTCCTCCCCGGGACAGCACAGGGTAAATAATGACCAGGATGACTGAACACAAAACATTTGACAATAATTAATGCCCAAGCAACTGGGTAACTCATGCCCCGTTTGCACCACAGGAGAAGTGGAATTTGAGGTACTTTCATGGAGAACAGTAACTTGAAAAGAGGAGTCCAAGCTGCAGAAAAAGCACACAAGACTGAGGCTGATTCCTTACCAAAACAGAGATAAATAAGCCACTGGCCTGGTTGAGGCCAAGAAAACAAGGCTGACACACTAAGCAACTAAGATCAGTCATCTGGGACTGGCATCACCTGTAATGGTAATTCACAGATCACAAAATACTTTGAGTTGAAAGGGACTCTCAAGGATCATCAAGTCCAACTCTTAGCAAATGGCCCACACACGATCCTAGAGACTTGCATGAAAGCATGGAAAAGGCAAGCACCAAGATGTCCTTTAAGGGGAGTAACAAGAACAGAAAGCAGAAAACTGCATGAACTGGGACAAGTACCATTAGATTTTAGCTCTGTTTGAGGTGAAAGTCTTCCAACTGTAATATAAAAGGAGCACTTTAAGGTCATGTAGAGATTTCCCACTTAAAAGTACAGAGTTTTCAGAGAGTCACAGTGCCTCTCAATACTGCCTTGATCAGTGATCAAAAGGAGGTATTCACGGGGAATTTGAATAATCCCTGCTCAAACTCAGATCAATACAGAAAGTCACCCCTTTCCTCATTTCTGGGAGTCAATTACAAAATGGACATTTACCTCTGTTTCCTTCCCTTGGATGAACAACACTGGCAGAGAGCACAAAGGCTGTCTGTGAGTTGGCCTGCATAGGGTTTTTTGTGAGCCTGGAATGTACAAAACACACCTACCATGCCACAGAAGCATCCAGCACTCAGCATGGCTCTGCTACATGAACTGGGATCATCGGTACACAGCTGATGGCTTCAGAGACATTCAAAACTTGGCTGGGAAGGTTCCTGAGCAACCTGATGTAAATGGACCTGCTTTGTGCAGATGTTGGACTACATGACCAACCTGCATGGCTACAACTGGACCATGTTATATTCACTTTTGAGTTTCATCTCCAGTGGCATCCACTGTTCATCTCTGAATGATCCCTTCCTGACATGAGCCAGCAGTGTGCCCAGGTGGCCAAGAAGGCCAATGGCATCCTGGCCAGTATCAGGAACGGTGTGGCCAGCAGGAGCAGGGAGGTCATTCTTCCCCTGTAGTCAGCACTGGTGAGGCCTCACCTGGAGTATTGTGTCCAGTTCTGGGCCCCTCACTTTAGGAGGGACGTTGAGATGCTTGAGCGTGTCCAAAGGAGAGCAACGAGGCTGGTGAAGGGCTTGGAACACAAGCCATATGAAGAACGACTGAGGGAGCTGGGGTTGTTCAGCCTGGAGAAAAGGAGACTCAGGGGTGACCTTATCACTCTCTTCAACTTCCTGAAGGGTGGTTGTGGTGAGCTGGGGGTTGGTCTCTTTCTCCAGGCAACAACAGACAGAACAAGAGGACACAGTCTCAAGCTGCGCCAAGGGAGATACAGGCTAGAATTAAGGAGGAAGTATTTCACAGAAAGAGTGGTCAAATACTGGAACCATCTACCCAGGGAGGTGGTAGAGTCACCATCCCTCGAAGAGTTTAAAAAAGACTGGATGTGGCACTTGGTGCCATGATCTAGTTGAGGTGTTAGAACATGGGTTGGACTCGATGATCTTAAAGGTCTCTTCCAACCTCGAATTTCGGTGATTCTGTGATTCTGTGATTCCTGCCCTGATGGACACTATCCTAAGGAGGGACCCAGAATGTGATTAGAATGCTCCTTCTATGTGTGACTGAGGGTATTTAATGTCTGAGATGCTGACACCATAACGTGAGTGGAACAAACGCAAATTTGATGATGTTGCTACTGCTGAAAAAAGAAAATCAAGACACTGTTTTTATTTTTGTTGCATGTTTTATCTTCTGTAGCTAACTTGATAGTTGCACATCAGTTATCACCTCAAGCAGAAAGCCAGCCTTCACACCCAGCTAAGGGAAACAAATTAGCAGCACACGTGAGTGCTCACAAACCCTGCTGTACATACCCTTCTGCCAAGGATCTGGTTGATAGCTGCACTTTCTTTCAGAGTACACTCTGCTACAACGTTTGCTCTCATTTCTTTCATGTACAACATGAAAGCATTCAGAGGTTTCTTAATATGAGGTCTTTTTGGCTCTTGTTCTTTTCTCTGTTCGTGCTGAGGCTTCCTAAAACGTGTTTGGGAAAGGGAAAGGAAAGGAAAAAAAGCATTAATTTGCCTTCAACCTAAAAAGATCCAATGGAAAATTACTAACTTATGGTTACAGTAGCATTAAGTACTAGGAATGAGAATTGCAGTGGTCATATCCCATCCACTTTCCTACCTTTTAGTTTAATACTCAGGAAGGACATCAGGTTGACATTCTCTAGCAAGTAACATTTAATCTGTGAATCTGCTCCAAACTTGTCTCAATTCTCTTTTTGAAAGACTACCCATGATACCCTAAAAGACCACTGCCACCGGCAGGAGAATAGCTTCTCATCCCCTTCTTTCCTGGGTTTTTTGCCATGAGTACTAAGCAATGAGACTGCTTTTTACTAGTGAATTTTGCAGGTAAGAACTTTTCCAGCAGAAGTTCTTGAGTTCAAGCACCACTCACAACTGGACAGGTTCATGATTATGGCTGAATGGAGATGGCTGTTGCCAACAGCTTGAAAGTGCTGGACTGGAATGAAAAATGGCTTCTCATTACCCTTATCAAACACCAACCCACAGTCCCTGTTTTAGTTATAGGAGAAGAGTTAAAATTCAAAGAGGTCATGAAAGGCACTTTTTAAAAGCAACCTTGACTCTTCTTCAGATGGAGTTAGTTCTCAAACATTTATTCATCAAGGGCTAGAGCAGAAAGGCAGACTCACACATGCATTAGCTCACTGTCGTTGTGCAGATGTTCTTGTTTTACTTGAGGTGTTACAATAGCTGGGTGAGGGATTCCAGTTGTGTGAGGGCCTGGAGGACCAGGAATCATGTGATGTGAAAACCTAAAAGAGAAAACCAGGCAAGGTCTGTAACCCCACTGAAGACAGCATCAAACATGTATGACAGCAGCAGGACACTCCAAGAATGCAAATGCTATGGAGCTTGCAATAAAGACAACTCTTAAAAAGCACACCAAAGATATTTGGCTAAGATTTGTGCATTGTAGCCCAATTGTTCAAGCAAAACAAACAAAAAAGTGAGTCAAGTCATTTTGGTTGTAAAGAAGTTGTTTTATTACCTTTCGGACAAATGCTTTTAGCGCTGCACACAAGAAATATTTAATATTTGTACTGTTGCACTGTCTAGCAATAAAAATACACATTTCTTAACCAAAAAAATGCATTTCCACACCAAGATATAAACATCCTTGAAATATCCACCACCAGCCAATGCAAAGGAGGAAACTGCCATGCAGAAAAAAATAAAATGAAAGAAGAGTCTTTTCAAGAAGTCCCTGATGGCTCTTTACTTTTCCAGGTACTTAAGGTAAAAGATTTTAACATCATTTCATCTGAACCCACTATTCTTACCTTGAATGCTTAAAATAAACTTTGAAAATCCTGCATCCTGGATGAAGGATGGGAGCAGGAAGAGATTTTTTTGTCCTAATTAAAGCCTCCTTTCATTTACACAAGAAGGAAAATGAAAAATAAAACCAAAATACCACTAACTGAATAATCCCACCTTACTAACCCAGGTAGTTCTCAAGGACATCTGAGACAGATCTTGAAGGTGCTAAGCATTGCAAACTCAGGTGCAGCAGAAAACCTGCATACTGCATTTTAAACTAGTGGAAAAGCTCATGCTCTCAAGTTTTGCTGAAGGAGTGATGGCTAAGGAATGCCATCCAGCCTTTCACCATTCCCTAGTCTCCTTGCTGCCCTTTTCCTTCATGTGATCAAAATAAAGGAAACACAAAGCCCTGTAACCAAATCAAGTGATTTTATCATGGAGAAAGAATGTGTTTTCTTCCCAATCACCCTGACAGGCACATGCTTATCATTCCCCTGTAAAGAAGTGAAGGGACAGTGATAATCCAAAGGAGCCCACACACGAAGAGGTAAGAGGACCTACCACTTATCAAGTGGCCTGCCTTAAATCCCTGTGCAGGAGGATGTCTCTCTACAGATGACAGAAAAAAAACCCCAAGAATTGTATTTTGCAACCTCTTGTACACCAAGCACAAGATGCAGAAGCTGTCTTTAGAATGCAAAAGCAGAGCATAGGAGGTCTGGAGTGTGTCATGGCCAAGTCTCAATTAGCATTGCTTGCTTGCACTTAGACATAAAGACACAGTGCCTGAGTCACACACCAGTACAATTACTGTGCTGGCATCCCCTGCCATTAGTGGCTTTGGGCTATGAAATACCTACTTGTGAGCAAGATTCCACACAGAGCATTACCTATGTGATTCAAGACTAATTACCAACAACTTTGAAATTGGGACTAGAGAATGCAGACTAGAGTGACAATCCACCTGGCTGCATACTGACATGAGCAAAACCCAAGGATGCTGTGCACAACACCATGTGTTGCATCGGGAAATGAACTAATGACTCATTTCAGACGAAACAGCTCAATTAATTGTAGACAATTCACTGGGTGCTCCTCATTGCAACACTTCAGAGACTGACAAGAAAATGCTGAATGAGACCAGTGTGGGATCCAGGCAAACTGCATATACACACAAAAGTTAAATAAAAATGTATGCATAAGGGTTTAGCTGACTGAAAAGCAAGCAAAGGCAGACCAAGATGCAAGCAGAAGAGCAACTTGCCCTCTAATGCCAGCAGTTACTCCCCAGTCAGTCATTCACCTCCTACACCTACCTGGACATGGAAGGGTCGACTGAGAGTGAGGATGGATAGGGCTGCCTGAATCCACTCGAGATGGGATATACAGGCTGACCTTGCCTGAGGTCACAGAAGAAAGGAACCCATCAATCATATGATATGGTATTCAAGCGTTATTCTAGAGTTACAAGCTCTTGATGGGAACTCCGTACTAGTCACAAATAAATAGTAAGAGCTAACACTTTCAAGAGTTCTGCTAATGAAACTAATGAATGCTTAAATGCTTTGAACTTTCTCCCTTGCTATTGAAAGATTCCCAATCTAAGTTTCCACTGGGAAGGAAAACAAAACAACCAGCCTTCCTCCCCCCCAAGGCACACATACTCATGCACACTTCTCTATCTCCATCCCTCTCTCACCTAGTTTTAGAAGCACTGGAATCAGATTTGTCAAACAAGCTCTTAGGAAAAAAGCATCTTATTCCGTATAGTTCTACTGTAGATCAGTGTGAGAACACCAGATGGTGAATTATTAAGCTAAAAAGCCTTTTGAACAGTTTGAAAACTTATGACTCTCTCCATTAGCATATGCTATAGTGAGGTACAAGTGGACAGCTTTTCTAAGTAGAAACTGATTCCATAAAAAAACCCCAACCCAACCACATAAAAGCCCACAGTGACACAAGCCTACCTTACTACTTAAAGATCAAACTTTGTAGTTCAGTAAGAGAAGCTTGTGTGAAGTTTTTGTCTCCTTTGCACTTTAACCTATACAGAATATTTTGCCACCAGTCCATCACTTGAGGTCTTTAATTTTTATCATCATCACTACCTTTTGATTACTTGATGACTACAATGAACCCCCTGAAGTAGCACGCGATGGTAGCATGAGCAAATACCAGCCCAAACACCTCTACCAGCCAGAGGGACACCACACACATCCATCCTTTTTGAACAGCTGCTTATCGACTGGTCAATCAGCTCTCAGATGAGAAAAAATGGAACCTGGCCTCTGTAAGGTTCCAAAAGTGAAATCTGTAAGGACACAGATTTCAGTCTTGGAGCATATTACTGGAAATGAACAGTGCTTAAAGGAAAGAGGAAATGAAAAAAAAAAAAAAAAGCTGAAGGAAGTGTCAACAGTGCTGCCACACAGCAGGGAGCCATAGCATAAGGGACAGCTGAGTATGTCCTGCTGTTGGTGAGTGCTGCTGAACACATCCCTGAGCCTTGTAAGGTTGCATCTTGTCTCTCCTCTTCTTTCTCTTTTCCCTCTTCCCTTCCCCCAGTTTCTGCACTGAGAAACCATTCAGAAGAAATGACTGATCACATCTGGAAAATGCATGCTAGCAACTGCCTGGTGGCAGTGGAAGTGAGGAGTCAGCTAAGCAGCAGAATGGGGAGGGGGGGGGTGAGAGATTAAAAAAATAGATGGTCAGATACTTCCATATTTTAGTTTGATATCTACTAATTATTTGTTCCAAAAGGCACGTGGCCTTTCCTGAAAGATATGCCAGCAATACAACATTTCACCATCTTCTGCTCTCTACTTTCTCTGCCTGTTGTCATCTGGATCATGTTTCCCTCCCATGGAGACATCAAAAAATAAAAAAATCTGTATCCCTCATTGAATGGGCACAGACTAGTCACAACATAGATTCTAAAGCCCTGAAATTGCGGCTGATTTGCCTTATTCCCTGCTCCAAGAGAACTGAAGGCAAGTACATATCTACCCCAAGCAGACATGAAGCACCCTGCCAAATCTATCTCTCTGAAAATACCACATTTCCTCCAAAAGGAAAATGACACCCTGAGTGGCAGCAAGAGATCATGAGAGCATTAGCAAGAGTGGCAAGATCTCCCAGTGACAGAGGCTTCTCTCTGTACAGAAACTGTAAAAAGCAGCAGGTTACAAAAGTTTGTTCTCCATCTGGGGCAGTTTCAAGATTTAACCCCCCCCCCTCCACTTCAAAGTTCTTTCTTACCTCCCATCTCCTCAGTAATTGAAATTTTGTTTATTAAAAATTACATTTAATTACTTGAGAACCGTTTGCTGCTATCTTTCTGAAAACTAAGAGCCACAAATCTGAGCCATAAGAAACATACAGACTTCAAAGTGAAGTCTACACATTTCAATTCCTGTATGTGTTCAAAAAACAGATTCATTTCATTTCAAAGATCGACTTTTTTTCATCTTTTCAACTAAAATAAAGTAGCAATTTCTTACTGGAATGACATTATTATTATTTTGCTGCAATTGTGATTGCTGCAATTGATTCAACAGCAAATGGTGTGAACATGCACCCGTCTGAAAAGAAGCTAAAAAATCTTACCAGCCAAGAGGTGGTGTTATCTGTCCAACCCCCCCTGGAGACAAGGGATAGAAGGTAGGGAGATCAGGAGCTGGAGGATGCCTGGACATGCCTGTTAAAAAGCACAGAAGAACAAGTGAGCTTCCCCTCAAAATACTCCATATATTACCTACAGTTCCCAGCTGACACTACAGTGGAACTAGTGCTGTGGATAAGGAATAACCACCTTCTTGGTTAGTGTCAAATCAAAAGGCTCCATGGGCCACCTTTAAAACAGTTTGCACACAATACTACAATTCAAAGGGAGATATCAGAAAAAATAACATGGAAGGAGGAAATAAATGTATGGGGAAGGACCTGTGCAAGTTTAGATCTCCTGTGAAGTGCATTAGGTGCTACTGTCCTCTGAATGGTCTCACCAAACCCAACAGGATCCTGAGGACCTCTTCTAACACATCATGAAACAAGGGGAAAATAAAGCATTGTCAAAGAGGCAGCACAGCAGAGCTATTAGATTAGGTAAATTGCTGCTTTTATATTTTCACGGGTTCCCTTATGGATTCACAGATTTTGGAAACTTGCTACCACAGAGGATCAGCGGTTAATTAAGAATCATTTTCAGGCCTGTAATGGTCACACTTGATATGATTCATTTGGCTTCCAATTGTCACTCCAGTTCCAACTAAGCTCTTCATCAAGTTGACTCCTGTGGGCTCCAAGGTCAATCTGTTTTGCAATGGTAGTATTTCATGGAAAAATAAGAGTCCCATCAGGAATGATCCATCAGCTCACATTCCCCAGAACACAGAGTCCTACAACTGCAAGAATCACCTCAAGATTAAAGCTAATCCTTATCCCAAAAGGGTCTGTGGTCTCCATTCTTCACCTAAACCTTGTGCCCCCAGGAGACATGGAATTACAGTTGCAGAGGCCACAAAGACATTGGTTTATTTAAATGTGTTTGGGGAAGAGGGGGTGAAGCAGAAGGAATTGTTAAGTCTACTTCACATGTTAAATCAGCTGCTTTAAAAGGGTATTAAATATTTATATGGTGACACTCCGAAGGTCCAAGACTGAGCATGTGCTACCTTGAGACTTAGTTTATAGACTGGTATTACTGATTTATTCCCCTGCTCAGTTTGTACTTAAATCTTCTGAATTTAATTACAAGATTTGAAGAATATCTGTTAGGACCGTGTACAGGAAAGCATAGAAAATAATACCAGCGGTGTCATTGTCTCAAAAAAACTGGATTTTCAGACTTGGAACCACAACCTACGTGAGGATCGAATTTCTGGCCAGCTGTCTTTTCAAAGGTGTAAAACAGCTGGTAACTGACAGGAAAGGAAACACTTTACATATCCCAGGGCTTTTACATGAGAGGGAGCACTCTTTCCGAGTGTTTGAAAGAAAAGAAAACCAAACAAGGTGTAAACGAAGCCCAGCGAAGCCCAGCGTCTCATCTCTCACATCTCTGATGATGACTGATGCTCCTGGAAGTGATGACATGACCTTGCCCCAGCCAGACCAGGTTCTGCACAAGGAGCTGGGCCACTCCTTCCCCAGGATCTGCAGTTCTGACCCATGGAGACAACACTGCTCCCTTTGAACTAATGCACATTTGTTATGGCTGTTCCAAAACTTCTGGCCCGTTATGGAGGGCTACCAGCACCTAGTGCCCTCAGAAGCACACAGAGCTTACCACGTGGCCAGTGTCCTCCAAAGCAAGTTCTCTTGAGAGGGTTAAGAAAAAAATTAAAATTAAATAAAAATTAAAATAAAAAAATAAAGAAGTGACTGCCTTTAGGAAGGTGGTGCTGTGTGTCCATCCCAAAGTGCCTTGGGTACAAGAGGCAGTCCTGAGGGCAAGCTGCTGTGGACCCCCTTGTTGGAGGATTTTGGTGGGAGGAGGGCACCAGAGCTAGGGCGCCAGGGCAGTGCCTGGTTCCAGACCCACAGTGGGAGGCGAGGACAGAAACAATGGTTGGAGGCGTTTGGCAGAGGACCTGAGGAAAAAAAAAATCCTCTCTTTGCAGCAACTGCATGGGCTACTTCAGTGCGGCTGCTCCCACACGCCGGTGGCGCCAAAACTGGGAGTATGGACGGAAGGACCACACACATCAAGGAGACCATCCCAGACAAAACCAGTAGTCTCCAGCCTGCATTATCCACATCATCCATCTCCATCTTTGCCAGACACTGAGCAAAGGGATCAAGAGCCCGTTCAGGGACTCCAGAGGGCAATGAGCTTTGTGCCTCCTGGCAGAGGCCCTCAGCAGGCATGCACTCGTGACTGGTGGGATGCTGGACAGGGGAGAGGGTAGAGAAGAAGGAGAAGAGAGGATGTGCAGCAAAAACAAAAAACCAACAAACCAGATGTTGTTCAGATGGGGTCTGCTGTACAGGAATACAAAAATAAACTGGGGTAAAGGCAGAAAGATGGGGCAAGGGCAAACTCAGCATGCAGTACGCAGAAACATCTTAAGCTCACAAACTGCAGCAGCGGGTTGTGCCCCAGCTGTCACAGCCAGCTTCTGCAAGAGGTGGAAATCCCATTCTCTTATCGCGTGGCACCCCTGGGATTTCAAGGAATGAGTGTGAATATCCTTCTCCTGGGCACTGATGCAAAGGAGGAAGACAAATGAGGACAGGAGGTCTCCATTTGCTTCTTCCAAGGCTGAAACAGATATTGTATACGTATTTACAGGCCAGGCTTTTCAGGCAGAGTGCTTTTTGTATTCCCCCTCCCTAGAAAAAAACAAAACCTAACTAACAAACAGCAAAAACCACACAGAGCCACCAGGCCATAGCATTTTCTGGATGTAGCCCATGTTATTATCTCCATAGCACAGCCAAAATAAAACCTAGGCATTCAGGGAAGGACAGAACAAAAAAAGTCTCTCTCCCTGGAACAATGACTAAAAGCCTCTTCAGATAAATGGGACAACTGTGCATATGGATGTGAGCCCAGGTAAAGCAGAGCCTCAGGATTTTGTCAAATGGGTGCCATAACACATGGTGGGACATGCAAGCGCAGAGAGAAGCAGGGAGAGGCACCCTCCTGGACCAGCTGTGGCACTGACAGGCTTCCTGCCCATGCAGAGATGCCCAGACTACAGTGAATGCCTTTGTAAAGCCTCTGCTCTCTCTCCTTCCCTGCTCACCACCAGCTCTCCCATGCAGGCTTTTTGTGCTCAGGTTCTTGCCAAACCCTGGGTCAGACCCATGATGGCCATGGCCATCCCCTTCCACCTCCCCAGCTTCCATCACATCCCTCCCCAGCTCCTGCAACCCATTGAAAGCAAGCACACCCTTCCCAGGAATCCCTTGTGTTCTCCTGGGTATAGGGCATCAACTCTTGGCACAGGCTGGGACTGACACCTTGGAGACTGTCCCCTCTTCCCTGGGGGCCTGCAGACTGACCCTGAGCAGGGCTGGTCTGACATTCCCAGATGTGCATCTAGGAGGCTTTTGTGTTTGCCTTAAGGGGTCCTAGAGATGCAGAGAAAACTGACATCCATGACTCAGACATCTAAAAATATGCTTTCTGTAGAAGGCACCCACCAGAAGAAGGTTAAAAAATGTTGGATTTGTAAAGTTTTTACTCGCACAGGTTCAAAACTAGTTTTATGGGCCATGCTTTGATTATGCTAACTGACATATGGACAGCCAGAATACAAGGACATAAAATAAAGTGAAAGGAAAGGTTTCAGTAGCACCACTACTTAAGCACTTGTCCCCTGTTTTCAAGAAGGTGAGGGAGGGTTGCCCTTTCTGTATTTGCATGCTGCAAGCCTTGGGCACCACAGGAGATGGTGAAGACTGGCTGCTATTTACTGAGATTTTGAAAGACTTTGATGAGAAAAGCAAACCCAAATTATCACATTAGATGGATTAAGCATTTAAGCAACCAAGTTAAGCATCAGCATAACGACAGAATTACCATGTCTGAAAGTGGGCATATGCAACTGGAAGCCTCCCTCTAAAATATTACAAATTGGTAATATTGGTTCTGTCAGCAGCACAAAGGGCACCAGGGCCACCCTGCATCCCCACTGTGCTGGAAAGGATGGGCTCACCTTGTTTGGAGCTGACATCAGAGGGGACATGAGACGGGTGTGACCCCGGGGAAAAGTGCTCATCGCTGTAGGTGATAAGAGGGGTGAGGGGGTGAACCGCATGAGAAGGCTGTACCACGGGCACCTTGTTGGACTGCAAGAGAAGAACAAAAATTAAATTGTGTTAGCGAGGGGAGGCTTCTGCTTTGAAAAAAAACCCTACCACCCAACATTTCCAAAATGCTATTTTTAAATATTTGCATGACTAAAGCGGGGGAAACAGATGGACAGACGTGACACTGGGGCTAGTGGATGGAAAGCAGGTTTGCTGCCAGAATCGGCATCCTCAAACCACTGGCACCCAAAGAGGGATGCAGATATTGAGGAAATGCAGGGAAATGGGTGGGGGCCGGGAGCAGGAAGAAAGGCATTTGGGAGCCATTGAGACAGGGCTGCGGAAACGGCAAATGGAGAGCTGCAGGGCACAAGGAGCAATGTGCTGGGCAGGCAGGCACTGTGCACCAAGGACAGCAGAGTCAGCAGCAGGGCTGGAGAAACCCTTTGGTTACGGGAACAGCATTTAAAAAGAGAAGGCTTAAAGTGCAGGTTTGCCATATCTCCAGCCTTAAAAGCTTCATCAGCTTCCCTCTTCCTTCCCACTGCTCTTCCTGCATGGCCATGGCATGGCACAGCTGGGACAAACCCCTGCCATCATCAGCGGAATGGCAAGTTTGTCCCTTGCAGTTTTACAAAGTCTGGTTGAAAACTCTTGTCTGTCTAAGGGTCACCCTTAGAAGGCCGATTTCATATAGGAGCAGTTGGCAGTGGCCTCTCAAGAGGGTCAGTTAGAGGGGAGGCACAGGAGTGCAAGGAACAGCTGGGAGGCTGCTGACTCTATCAAGGAGAACTCAAAGTGCTACAAACGCCCACAACGGTCCTGAAAAGGGTGCCATAAGGTGATGTCCTTGCAGGGCAAGATGCACACTTCCCACCAGCACTTCCCAGAGCTCAGAGGCACATGGGAGGAGGCAGGCAGCATGACAGAAGGATGCTGTCCAAAATTACTCCCTAAGATTAAGGTTGCAAGACAACGGAACTCCTCTATCCCAATGAAATCCTGCATTATTAATGCTGCTTAAAACTCAAGTTGCTTTTTCCACAGTGAGACGAGCCACAGTGATGATGCCAGCATGTAACAGGAACTCCTCATTTGTGCCCTGCCACTCTACCTTGCCCCTTAGCACAAAAAAATTATAGAACAAACAGGCTTTTAATAAAATCCCCCCCCCAAAAATAAAGCTATCCTTCAGACAGACACACTGACAGCAAGGACAGCCTGTCAAACAAAAGGAATTAAAAAAGAAAAATAATTTAAGGGGCGAATGAAATTAATTTTCATTGAGTTCACTATTGAAATTCTGGCACAAAGCAGACATTAAGATATAGCTCCATGCACAAGTCCATGATTTTTCTGGACTTATGGAAGCAGATGGGTTATTAAATGGACAACTCAATTTATTGTTAAGGCTGGTAGGAGTAGAGGAAAGGAAGCAAACGGGAACCAGTGCAGCATTTTCTGCTTTCCTTGTTTCCAGAGCACCACCTTAAGGAACTTGCATTAGCAGGCAGTATCTTCTTAATGTCTGACCTATCCCTCCAGTCATATAGCTCAGAATCTGGTGCCATGAATTTTTGCTAAATTATGCTATCCTTGCTCTCCTCTTAATTTTACGGTTTTCAACACAGATTTGCTTTCCTGTGGGAAAGAGATAAGAACCTGAGGATTTTAATTTAAGCTTCGGCCTTGTCTTATATTTTGCAAGATGGAGAGAGAAAGCAGCGCTAGTAGGTGTTTTAAAGCCAACAAGCATTAGGTCCATTTTTGTGACCAAATAATAAAAGCAATATGAATTCTCAATAATATCTATGAGTTGAGTTGTAAAGGGGATAGCTCAGACTGCTATTCATCTTCCCCATCCGTATAAATTCCACAAAAAACAGATGCCAACAAATTTCAGATGATTTACAAATCGGGCCTCAGTCTTTAGCTATGAGACTCGTGGGCCAGCCCACCATTCAGCCATTACTTTATCAACAATAAACTGTATATTATGAATAAAGATAAGCAATAGATGTATTTAGGTCACACACACACACAGCTGCTAATCAGCATTAATTTCTCAAAATTTAGTAATTAACATTTTGTATTGTACTGGATGTAATTGTCATGCATGCCCCTGGTATCAGGGTTCCTTGCTTTCAGAAATCACCCATTTATACTTGGAGCATGCCAATCCCTGTACCCCCTCGCTCTCCAGCATCCTGCAGATTTTATTTTATTTTCTAATTCTCGGCACCTTATCCCCTAAGCCCATGGCAGCGGCTTTCAACGGGCAAAGGAACCGTGAGAAGTCAGGAGAAAAGCAAACCGCTTGTCAGCGGGCTTAAAATTAACATATAAACGGGCCATATCTCCATTAAGAGCATTTGGGGGTCTGCAGAGCCAGAAATTGGGAGGGGAAAAAAGTAACAATAAAAATAGCAATAATGCAAAGCTTCCAGCCTGCCTGCCCCACACTGCTTTGGGAAGACCCGGGGATCTCTGGCAGCTAAATCCTGCTGGTTGCCCCAGCGAGACAATAGATGGGGGCTCACTGGGCACAGGCTGAGCCTCTCCGAGATGGCCACAGCGATCGACAGCAGGAGGACACACAGGGTGACACATGCACGATGAAACCAGGAGGAGAAAGGCCTGATGACATATTTTCCAAAAGCTCTATGGACTTGAAATGGTTCTGCCATGGCAGCTGCCCTACAAGGCAATCCAGATGGGTTACGTGGGCCTTCCTCACAGAGAGGGTTCAGGGCAGGAGACCAAGACCTCATATGCAGACACCTGAATGCCCCTCTTGCCACCCTCTCAACCCTCCCATCCCCTGCTGCAGTAAGGGATTGGCCCCAGGCACCCCATCCAGGCCACAGACACCGCCCCGCACCCTCTCCCCTGGGGACACCTGGACTGGGGATGTTGCCAAAGCCCCTTCCACCATCTACTACTCCCAGCGGGCACTGCTGCTTTCCAGGGCTGTGAGCCATGGCCAAATCCTACCTCACACTGAGGTACAAAACAGTGTTGATGAGGCTGCTTCTACTGCTTCCCAGGCTTTACCCAGGATGCCTCTTCCCACAAACATGGCATCCCTACTACATTTGTCTCCCCAAGTCCTCCAAAGACAATGCACACAGCTGCAGAAACACTTGAGAGACTGACAGAGATTCAGTCTTGGGCAACATGACCTCCATGCAGGGGGAACTCCATTCACCATGGCTTGCTGGGCACCTGCTGACCAAGCCCACAACCAGCTCTCCCTGGCACACTGGTGACATTTATATCTAATTCGGTCATTGTCCACAGAATATCTTTTCTTTTCTCCTCAGCACAGCCTGAAAATCTGCAAAACCCAATCAGTCCACATGCCTTCAATGAGACAATTACATAATTATGCACTGTCCTACATGAGATTCTTTGGTATTTCAGTACAGAAATTATACTTCATCCACCCACCAAAACATAGCATTTTGGTGCAAGTAGGTACTCAAGCAGCTTCTAAAACCACAATAAAGTGAATGAGGATTAAGTTTCCATTTCTATTCTCATTTCCAAGACAATCTGGAGAAGCTGAACGTTTGTTGAAGCTGCCCCTAGCACAGCTCTAATGCCACATAAATGGTGCATTACCACACCAGTGGAGTTCCATTCTCTTTACCTAAGGCTCTTCACATGACCTGGAAAGTAAGGGAAATGGGACATACAGCACAGCACAAGATATGCAGTTTGGAAAAAGTAAATTACAAAAAATGAGCACCTGTTTTTACAACCTGAAGACCTCCTGTTCTGTTTTAGGACACCTTATCATGCATGTGTTACCTGTTACAAACACTAAAGGCTAATGGCAAAGGGACAGCCTATTTCTGTTAGCCTAGGGACACACAGCTGTGCCTCACAGCACTCAGCTCAAAGGAACACTCCTGAGTGACTCAGCCTCAGTGGTCTCCTTCTCAAAGACCACATGGCTACCAGGGATCCAGTCCCAGAGCACAGTCTTGCACCCAGACCACACCAGCATCCTTTGGGAGCTGGCCTCTGTGCAGCCCTCCCTGGGGCACTTTTCCTCATCAGCTTGGCCTTCCCAGTCGGCATCTTTTATTTCTCCCAAGCATGTGCTCTCAGGCTGAACTGAGGCAGTGCAGGCAGGGGACAGTCCCCTGAAGGACACAACTGTACTGGAAACAGCAGGAACCAAATTATTTGGCCAGTTAGGGCTAAGATGAAACTGCTATTCAGTTTTATGACTGACCCGAAATAAAACCCCAAAATCCCCAGTACAATGTTGGTGGGCAAAGGGTAAGAGCTTGCAGGGAAGAGGGCCCTGACCCAGCGGTCAGCACTATCCCAGCAGGAGCTTTGCTATGCACCAGACACCTGTTTAAAGCTATTGCTGAGTTAAAGTAACTCAGGAACAGGTCAGCACAACAGCAAACACTTTCCTTGCAAACAGCAATCTCAGTCTGCAAGTGGTAAAGCTTGAACTTAACTCAGGAATTTTGGCCAGGGCAAGGAGCAGAGTGAGAAATCCCCTGGCTGCGACACTGGCACAGCTGCTGCCACATGGTTGGGTGATCCCTGCGAGTGCCCCGCACTGGCAGTGCTGCACCTGCACTCACAGAGCCACTCACCATTTCAGACATGTGCCTGCCCTCTCATCCGAGGAGCACACTGTGAGACACTTTAGATTAATCTCTAGTGAGTTCATAGTGAAATGCTGCGGCACAAATTCAGTCTGAACCCAGTAAGTTTTCCCTCATTTTTGAAATGCTTCTGAAGAAAAGCAAGAGTCCAGAAAAAAACAAACCTTGAGCCCTGCCCAAACAGCCAGCTAATGTTTCACTGAAGGCCCACACCTGTAAGGTATCTTATATGCAACAAGTGTGCAAAAACTATAAAAAGCCTGAGACAGCCACGGCAAAAATGCCTGTAGGTCAGCGCTGGGCGAGGCGGGCAGCTGGGAGCTCCTGCTGGAGCTGGGGCCACCATTTGTTCCAGCTGCTGCACAGAGAAAGATATTAAATTAATGACCCTTCAAAGGACACACA